TTTCCCAATAGATAATAATAAAATCGTCCCCACTCAAACATGTAGCCAGCACCTGCATAATAACCGACATGCCAAAATATACGAATACGTGGACGCCACGTCACATCGACGCTTATGCAACACGTGTTCAGCTTTCACCCAGGATTTCAACAGCCCGCGCCATTGACCACGCAGAAATTCCCAAAAAAAAAAAATAATAATAATAAAAAATGTCGACATTACATGATATGAGTCATTTTTTTGGTACAGGGACCTCCGGTATCCGGATCCATAGGGAAACTGATTAATTCGGAATCGAGCTGGGTAGGACCATAAGAGCTGCAAAACTCTTCCTCAAAAGTTTTAACACTACTGCATTTACATGGCTCGAACTCGAGACCACTGATTAAGCTGGAAGAGACCAAAACATCTCATCCAAGCGCTCTTGGATCATGACACGAGTCATTAACTGCTAACTATATAATAAAAGATTATTCCACCTTTTTTCTTTGGATGGTCGAATTTTCGGCCAAAAACCACTCCAATATTTAAGGGCACGCAATCAGCAAGACTATGAATTAAGAACATAGCACAAAACGATGTTTCACCAATTACTAATTAAAGCTTATTTTCTATCGAGACTATGGGTGCATATCAACCGAGCCAAATTAAACTCGAGCTCGAACTTCTGGCAAGCGACTCGGGCTCGAACTTTTATCGGGCTGACCCGATAAACAAGCTTGGACACGATCCTTTATTGGTCTAAATCGGTAAACGAGCTCGACCCAGCCAACTTATTTATTAATATTAACAATCAGATCTCGAGATTTAACAAACAAACACATTCTATTTTCGAGCATCGATATATGAGCCAAGCCGACTAAACAAGCTTTACATAACTTCTAGTACGAGCTCGACTCGACTTACTAACTAAACGATCTCAAGTCTTAACAAGACGAGTGCACGAGCAGCTCGTTTTATTTAACAGTCTTAATCAAGACCAAAAAGTTATCAAACAATAACTATATTTGTCAATTCATACATCGGCTGCCAAATCACCTCTCAGTGTGTGCTATCCATATCAAGTGAAATTAAAACAGAGTTGTAAATTAATTTTTTCAACAGTAAGATTTTACATTATGGTTTAAATTGATTGTTAACTGAATTTTGACTGCTATCAATCCACGATATATATAAACGATATACTAATAAGTTGACATCAAAAAAAAAAAAAAGTTGACATCATACTCTAAAAAACAATATAAATAAAAATGTGTGAGATTTAGTAGTATAAATATATAATTTTGGGTAAACTAAATAAAAATTATGATGCATCTAATGGTAAATAGCCTAATTTGCAACCTAACTATTACATTTTAGTGTGGCTGAGCAAATCCCAATTCAAACAAAATACATTTTTTTTTTTTTTTTGGTACAAAAATTACATTTGAAGTTAATAAACATTGTATCTCACTCGCTTTGATGTCACATCCAAAAATTTCTCATCTACCTCTATTAGTATTCCTTCATGAATAATTCCACAGTTATTCAATTGAAATAAAACGTACAAGATTCATTATTTTTTGGTACCCGTGACTCTTGATATGAGCATAATAATATATAGGTAGACCCTTCAATCTAATAAATCGTACCAATTATAAAATTGCATGTGATGATCGTCGGTTAAATGTAATCATTGTCGCTATATATAATTACCGAATGCGCTGAGCCTACGTGCTTCTGGTGCTTCGAAATCTTACTTGGCGAAGAATCATGCTTCGTAATTAGGTTTGGACAAATAATATTGATATATTAATAATAAATAATATAGGTCCAGACATTCCATAAATATTATTTAGTTAACTTAAGTATTTTAATATCACTTGTACTAATATAACCCTTTAATTCTTTGTAATTTTAGACAGTGAGGCACTATGTGACTAATATATTCCTGAATTTTGATATGTTTCCTTCAATTAGCTATTGAATTGTAAATGTATTTTAAAAGTTCATAACTTTTGTATTTCTTACTGGTTTTACATATATAATATATCAAATTAATCATCTTTTGATGATCTTCGATTTGACATTCATATTGTATATATAATAAATAAATTATATTTATCTTTATAATAATAAAAATAACAATATTTATTAAAATTCATTAGAAAAATAAAATTATTTCTCTTTTTTTTTATTCATTTAATTTTATATAAAAATAAAATTATTCTTCAATTGATATATTTATGTTTAATATAGTTATATGTTGTATGTTAAAAACATTATTATAATATGACACAGATAAGTCGCAAAAATCATGCTAAATATATAATAATATATATATATTTTTATAAAAGATATTTAAATTTTCAACAACTTTTTCTCATTAATTTTAGATTTTAAGAAAAATTAGCAAGCACCCGTGTATACACGGGCGTTGTACTAGTATGAAATGAATAGCTAAAATTGAGACATCAAATCTAATAAATTTCATTTTACTATTCGAAAACAACAAAGCTGACATTAGACATTTATGACCGTGAGATCAATATATTTTCTTTATGAGTTTCGAAAAGAAAAATCAAAGAATCGTACAGAAAGTTATTTTGGAATATCACCGCAAATAGGACGTCCATTGAATTTTTATGAACATATATTTATATAAAGCTCTTTCATAATGAATCCAAAATTTATATAAAGCTCTTTCATAATGAATCCAAAGAGATCTCTCGATCGTTGATCGGACCTTTAAATAGTAACGAAATGCAAGTGATTTTTTTTTTTTTTTCTATGGCGCGCGGCTACGGGACGATACTTTAACCAGTGATTTTCTCGGTTGTCCAAATTCGATAGGTAAACTCTCATTTTTGTTCCTTTTTTTGTGGGTAGCAATATGTATGAATCAATTTGATGCTACGAACTAATTTGAGCCTTCAATTTGAATCGACTTACTCTGTATTTTTTTTTTTTCTTTAGTTTTATATAATTTTTTCGGTAGGTGCAAGAACTGATTAAGTAGAAAATATCAGTATCAAAAGCTAAGATAAGATAAAATTGGGATACTACATAATAATTTATCCCATTTATTTTTAAGTAAAAGTAATTTAATAGTTTAATTAATGAGTTTTTCGTTAAAAAAATTATTTAAGAAAGAAAAATGACACATGTCGTGATTTGAATGGGTACATACAATCAGATATGTGAGAAGGGTACCTGAACAACATAAATATGTATTTTACTTGAAAAAAATATGACCAATTGACTTTCCTAGCAATTGCATTCATACGATAATTTGCGATATGAAAATCTCGATTTCTTTTTGGTTTTTCACTTTTCTTCATTCAATCAAACACAAATTCTCGCATTGGATCGAGGGGTTTCTTATGAATATTGGGCCTGCATTATTACGGGCGTCGAATTCTGGGTACTATTTTAGGGGCTTAAGCAGGCTTGGGACAAAAGTTACCGTCAAGTTATTGTCGAGATCGATAATCAGTGTGTAACGCGAATGTGCTCGGACGATATGTTTGACATGACACCTTGGTCAAGGCCGTTCTTGGTTTGATCCGGCGTGAGTGGAACATTAAGATAATGCATGTGCATAGGGAAGCCAACTTTGCAGCTGACCACTTGGCGAGCATGACGACATCTTGTTCGATTGGGCTGCAGCGAATAGCCTCACCTCCCATAGGCCTTAACACTTGGCTTGGCCACGACATTATTGGGGTATCGTACTCTCGTCAAATTCTAGCCTAATTAGTCGTCCACACCTTTGGAAAAGACAGATCGACTCATTATAACATATGAAAACGACATATCTAGTTTTTCCTTCTTTCTCCCCCGAAAAACCGCCTATAAATAGACAAGCACCTTCCATGACTTCCATATTTTCATCACAATCTAAGCTCCCTCCAAAACCATTACCTCACCTAAATTGGCAAAAATAAAAGACAAACAAAAAATCCCTCTCTCTCTCTATAACCAAAAAAATAAAAAAGGAAAAAGTAAAAAATAAAAATGGTGGCTCTCTCAAAGCCCGCTATCCAACAGTACACCAATCCCAAAAACGTAACCACATTTTCCTCGGACGACGTCCCATTGATCGACCTTTCCCGGCCCGACCCAAAGGCCCAACTCGTCAAGGCCTGTGAAGACTTCGGCTTCTTCAAGGTCATCAACCATGGGGTGTCGTCTCATATTATCAACGACCTTCAATCGGAGGCCCTCAGATTTTTCTCTTTGCCACAGCCAGATAAGGAGAAGGCCGGGCCGCCAAGCCCGTTTGGGTACGGTGACAAGAGAATCGGCCCAAATGGAGATGTGGGCTGGGTCGAGTACTTGCTCCTAAACGCCGGTGATCAATCGGCCCATCATAGGTTCGGGTCGGTTTTTGGCGAGGCTGCTGATAATTTCCGGTGAGTTCGTCACGGAAAACAGAGGATTTTCTGTTTTGGGTTAATTATGGATAGTACCCTTGAGTTCAGTTAAATTATAGAAAGGTCCAACTACTTTTGAAAATATGCATATGTTGGTCGGATATTTTGCTTATTTCTAAAATTGCATCGTGGATAAAGGGGTGCAACTCGGGATGAGATTTTCTATCAGAAAAAATTATGTTCCAATTTTTTAGAAATGCTAAGGTCCCGTTACATAATTATCCCGTCGAGAGTTATAACCGTTGAATACATATGTAATTTGTATAAGATAGATGATCTAACGGTTAAAACACCAGACTGGATGATTCCTTAACGAGACCGTAGTATTTTTCCCAATTTTTATATGGCACGTGTTTGCGATGACGTCACATTAATATACGTGTTAAAATATTCGGTATTTACACTTTTCAAACATAGTTCATTTCCTCGGACTAAATGGATAGGGTTTTCAATTTCTCGGGTCGTAACTTTGATTCGGGTGCGTATTTGTATATATCGTATGAAGCTACACATTGTCACGTTTATGAATAAATAATAAATATTACGGTAATTATATTCTTTTAGCATAAACCAAATTGATGTAGGGGACAACGCGAGGAATTTAATTGAATTATATAAAATTGCAATTATATATCTTATCCTAAATTTTTTAAATTATTTATTTTTTGTATATAGTTTTGTAGTGAATGAATATTTGAAAGCTGTGAAGAAAATGACATGTGAAATTCTTGAGATGTTAGCTGATGGGCTCAAAATTCAACCAAGAAACACTTTCAGCAAATTGCTCATGGACGAAGAGAGTGACTCTGTTTTTAGGTTAAATCACTACCCTCCAAGGCCCGATTACTCGAACTCGGACGAACGTAACCTAATCGGGTTTGGGGAGCACACGGACCCGCAAATCATATCTGTTTTGAGGTCCAACAACACGTCGGGCCTCCAAATATCTCTCAAGGAAGGTAGCTGGATTTCGGTCCCGGCCGACGAGAGCTCTTTCTTCATCAATGTTGGCGACTCATTGCAGGTATAACTATTTTTTCTACGAAGCTGGTTTTTTTATTTTTTTTACATTAATTAACACATTTTTTTTTTTGTATGACAAGATCTAAGTGTCACGTGCACGTCGATGCTGTCATATTTTTTCAAGCAAAAATATATAGAAAGTGACATTTTTTTTTTTTTTTGGAGAGTGACATTTAAGTATGAAACGTGCATATCTATTAAAAAAACATAAACTTTGGTGATAAGCAAGTTGATAAGTTAGCTAATAGCTCATGAGTGAATTTCGAGCTGAAATAGAAATCTCAATTGACTTATTTGAAAATTCCTTTTTCTTTTTGCTTAATTTTTATTTTTTCAGGTAATGACCAATGGGAGGTTTAAAAGTGTAAAGCATAGGGTTGTGACCAACAC